ACAAAGAATACTGTCGGCTTTGCACCTTTTTCCAAGACACCGTTTTTCCCGCCAGTAGCTCTACCTTTTTTCCTCCGCTGCTACCACCACCACAACTACCACTGCCGCCGTCAACTACCGCCATTGCCACCCCACGTCATTCTTTTCACCTCGCCGTTCCTCCTCGAGAACTCCTCACCGAGGCTCTCTGATCCTCTCTTTTCCGCGACGAGCCTCCTTCGTTCTTTCTTTCCCCGCATCCCCGGCTCGCCTCCACGGTCTTTTTCTCGCGAGCTTCTCCTCGTGCACGCGGTTAAAGAGAACAGCCATTTACCTACGCGATTCAGAGACGGCAAACTGAAGCTTCCTCCCCGGTAGAAAGGACCCCGGATTTTCTCTGTGCGCGACGCGGCCACGTAATACGGACGTTTTTCTCTCGTGAGGATGCGACGTGCATGGTTCTCGCGGATTCTATGATCGTTTTAACGCTTGATAGCGGGCTGATGATGGATTGAAGATTGCCGAGGATGTGTTGATTCTGGTAACGCGCGAGAGAGGATTGTCTTGGTAGGTTGTTCATTGATTGTTGGCGTTTCTGTTTTCTTTGCTTTCCGATTGTCGTGATCTTTGGGGAATTGTCAGTTGTCTTTGTGGAACGGCAGGAAATAATAGTTGAAGGCTGTAGAGGAGGTCTACTAACCTCGGGATACAATTCGAATATTTCAGTGAATTGTATATGATAAAATTGTGTCTAATAGGACTTTACTGTTTTATAGTTTACGGGTAGATAAATAATTGAGGGTGCTAATCTTCGAGTGTGCGTCTGTAAAGCGATTGAACGTACGCGTGACGAACGTCGAGAATCGGAAAGGGCCTCGTCGAAATATTGTACGAACAGTAGACTATGTTAATAATAATTTCATTTCGCGCGGATTGAAAGCGAGTGGGGGACCCGTCGTGCTCGAGACTTCGTTCGCCGGAGAACACCGGGCGAATTTGAAATTCAATTCGATGCAAATCTCCTGACGGTGAAGACACTTACGGCTAACCGGCGAACAAGATCGAGGATTCGTCGCTTAGCGTGCTGTAAACACTCGTCTCCTTTTACCAGGCTTATGAAATATTGATAGGCCACCGCTGGCGTGCACGCGTGCAACGAAGTTTTATGACGGCGATCGGTGACGTTGACGATATCGCCGCCACCGAATGAAAATTAATGGGCGGAGGATGTCTCGCGAAATTTTTAAACAGTCTGCTTATCGAGACCGCCTATTTTGCATGCTCGTGCGCCAGGATAATTAATTCCGCAAGCAAATCTGAAAGGTTCGGAAAGTTTCTTTGAAATTTTTACATAACGCCTGTACATATAGTCGCTCGCGAGAATTGACACGCATTTAGTAAATGTTCAACATTCTTCGAGCGTTGAAATCAAATTTAAAACATTTATGTGGACTTTTGTAACAGATTGTATTTTATATTCTACTTTGTTCTATTCCAATTGCAACATTATCGTTCTAAAATCTTGTGATTATTTAACGCGGTTCCTATTGTGCACACAGTATTCCAAACTATCGAAACGAGAAACATTTGTTACGAGTTACACGTTCGACGCACTGAAGAAGTGGATGAATATATATCTGCACACTGTATTCACATATTATTCCCCCTACATGCGTGTATCAAGAAAGGAGAGCACAACGGGCCAACGATCCCAATTATAAACATTTCTCGTGGCTTTTCAGAGCTACATTCGTCGAAAGAGGGAACGTGTATAGCCGGTGCATTTCATAGTTCACGCACCCTCGGTACACTCTTCACGTTCTCCGACGTACACCGCCTCCATATCGCTCTTGGTCCAAAAGTACTTTTCGTTTTCAAGTGCGTCCGAGCACATGCGGGTTGATTTTCTTCTTTCTCCCCCTTTTTCTCGCTCTCGTTGCGTCACCTTCAACGCAGTGTTGCGCCAGAGCTAGGTCAACTGCTAGTACAACAGCGAACTGAGCGATTTTGCTCGCTGTTCTACCCTTTTACAAATAAAATATACCAAATAAGAAGAAATCCATATTTCATTTGTGTCTAACGATACTAGTCCCGAATATTCATGCAGTAAGAACTTTATTATTTGTAGATCAAGAAGAATCTTAATCCTCGCGTTCTGTTCAAACAGAAAAATCATATTATCAATTAATCATCTAAGCTACAACAGAGAAACAACCAAAGTTTAAGCTCGCGTATCAGTAAACAAAATTTACTCTGAATCAATATCATCAGATGTCAAACTTTTAGGCACATACAGAATACGAAATAAATACGATTAAAATCTTTATACCACCGAATCTTCCATCCTCAATCGCAACATCAAAGAACAACGAAACATCGCAAAACATTTTCCAAATACATCCCAACGAAAGAAGTTCCAAGAGAACGCCCAGAAAAAAGCGACATTAAAGCCTAATAAACAGCGCACCTTTGCTTTGAGGCGCAACGTATTTTCTGGGACATCCCGATATTTCGTCCGCATCGCGTTCGAGGCAAAGTTGCAAGTGATTTCGAGGGGAGGGTGTGGGGGCGGTCGTTAAACCTGGCCGACACCGAGGTTGCTGCGTAATCGCGAAAGCAAGGAAAGTATTTAGCCGGTTTACGGGCACGAGCGTAGGAGGAGAGGCAGACGGAATGAGAAAACGGGAGAAAAGTGACGTTGAAGAG